TATAGGTAGATGTAGGTTTATGTAACTTTTAAATGTTTTTTTTCCCCAGAGCATTAAAGTACTTGAACAATATTGGGAAATTGAAAAGTAGGTACATTAGACCTTACAACATTATATTAAGTGCTGTATTTATGCCTAAACAGAATTTCATCATTATTTTAGTTCAGGTTAACTTAATTAAAGATTATTTAAGATTGTCACTTGATCCAGAAGTTTATCAAATGCAACAGTTCTCTTGGTTGAAAATGAGATAAGCAAAGAAGATCATTTTCAAAATATTATCAGCGAGTTGGCACCCACTGAAGGGAGAGCACCACGAGGCTACAGTATGCCCTGGCCTGGCACTAGTCTTCAAAACTTTTTTTGATATTTCATTCACCATACTGGTTTTAGTATTAAGCTTGTTTTTAAAAATATTAAATTTCAGTATTGCTCACTGTAGTAACAGAGTGTCTTTAGGACACCCTTAAATTCTGCACCCAGGTGAGTGGCCCACTCTCCCCTGCACAGGGTCACATTCAGCAAACCTCGTCCTACCTGATTACCTACTTCCTTACATCCCTAAATCCAAGGAAGGGGATCGATTTTAAGTATCTTTGAAGAAAAGAGCTTATCATTCTAATAAATATACCAGCAAGCAATTGAAACAGTGGAAGTCTTGTATTGTTAGTAATATAAATCTCCCTTTGGTATTCTGGTTTGGTTGAAGCCCAAAATGTAAGGAGACAAGCACGAGAAAAAATAAGGAATCTTCCTTTCACTCTCCCAATTCTGTTGTCACATGACGAAGAGAAAAACTCAACCCAAAACGTTAAATTCCCAAATATCACTAAATGTTTGCCCTTTCAAAACAGAAATTACAATAAATATGTTCCTGTTCTTGGTTCTACACTCTTGAAAACTTACTTTTCCACTCGAAAGAAAATCTTGTGCAGTTTTTGTGTGGAGCACAGGAATCTAAAGCTTTATTTAGGTGTGTAAACAAATGACAAAGGGCAGAAAATTCAGAAAAAAGCCAGACAGTCAGAAGAGAATCATGAGGGAGATGATGCATTGCTGCACTTCAGGTATTTGTTTTAGAAGCTCCTGCTAACTCCCACTCTGTTGTCTGACTGCAAATCCTTGCAATTCTTACTTTTTATATCCAGACTCTAAACATTTTCGCTGAGTTTCCACTAAATAAAGTCTTCAAAACAGGAATTCGGTCTGTTCCTGTGTTGCCATGACTTGTCCAGACCTCTTCCCCATTACCTGCAAACATGCAATTGTCTCCAGTCACTTCCGAAATCTACCTGGGTGGTGCGAACAGGTCATGTTCCCACCTCAGTGCCTTTCCACCCTCACCGCCCCCCGCCCCCACCCAATCCAGAACCTATGCCATCATCCTGATGCCAACGAGACCCGGCGGGCTTGGCCGCAACTTACTGTGGATGGGTTTGCACCTGAACCATATTGCCTTCACAGGCTGCCATCCTGTGGAGAGCACGGTGGAGTCCCGTGACGCCCAGGTCTTTGGTAAGTAGTTGTAAATGAACAGAATGGCAAAATCTGAAGTAACGTGATAGTGATCGTTGACATTTATTGAACATTTATCAAAAACCAGATACTACTGTAACAGCACAACTGCACAAAGTTGGTGCTACTTTTTATGTCTAGTTTACAGATGAGGAAAATGAGACAGAGAACGATGAATTTATTTATGTATGACCACACAGCTAATAGCAGGGGCACTGGAACTCCAATTCAGACATCTGGCTCTGGATCAGGAGGTTGCCAGCAGCACGTTAGACTGGGCAGGCGTGTGCTGTTGATGGTGAGCTGACACAGCAATGCAGCCGGCACAAACCGGCACTTGGGGAACTGTAATTTGTCACCACTGCAATCTATCATACCGTAATTTATCATCACTCTAATTATCACCACCGCTTCTTGATTAAAGTGCCACTCCTAAGCCTGCCATTGAAGGCTTCTGCCCTCTGTGCTGGCCAGCCTCTGTACTGTGCCCACTATCAGCGGACACATTTACTGCTATGTCCAGGCGTGGGTCCAGGCCCAAACATCAGGCCTGTTGACACCTCTCCACTCTTCTAAGTTCACTGCAAATTCTTCCTCTTCTCAGAAGCCATCCCTGATGCTGCAGGTCACATCTCTTTCTCCAAATTCCAAGTGGATTTATGGTCTGGAGAATTGGGTTCCCTCCTTTGTCAACACAAAGACTCTCTTTTAATGTCCCAAATTACCCACCACCAATCCCTTTGTGACAGTAAATATGTAGGATCTAATGTGGTGGGGCTTGGCCAGAGGTTCTTACCCCTGGCTGCTCAATAGAATCACATGCAGAGATTTAAAAAATCCCAATGTCCAGACAGTACCCCAGAATAAAGGAAACAACATCTCTAGGGGTGGCACCCAGGTAGTTTCCCTTCAAGCTCCCCAGGTGATCTGAATGGGCAGGCAATTCTGAGAGCCAGTGGCCCAGCACTTAACATTTTGCACTTGTGACATACTTTATATAACACACCTCCTATCATTTTTACCCTTGTAGGCCTCCTTCAACAAGTCTGCAAGGTCTTAAAGTCAAGAATTTGATATTTGAAGCTTTTGCTGCTCAAAGTATGGATCATGAACCCGAAGCATCTCAAGTGCATCACCAGGGGGCTCGTAGGACATGCAGGTCCTCAGACTCCTCCCCCAGACCTACTGATTCAGAAAGAGCATTGTAACGAGATCCCCTGCTGAGCCACAGGCACTCAAGATTCTCTAACTTTTGAGAAGCACCCGTTTAAGGCATGACGCGATCACCTACATCTCCAGGGATGGGGCTCTCAAGCCTCAGGAGGCCGCGGAACAGAAATATTTATTTATTCATTTATCCATTTTTACTTGATGACACCGTTACCCACCTTCTGAACTGCTCCTTGGCCTGTACCTAGAGGGGAAAAAAACAAATACTTCCTTCCCCTCCTTCCTAAGAAAGTCTGCTCCCAATGTTTTCTTTTCAATAACGCTTGTTTCTGACATCCACAGAGCAGCTGCGAGCTCGCCTCCCTTTCCTTGAAGCCCTGACAATCACTTAAGATCTTGGTCTCGGGTCAGCCTGCTTAGACCTTACAGTTCCTATTCTTACAGGCATAGGGAACCCAATAGGCTGGACAACTGTGCAGTTTGGGATAAGCTTAAGATGTGTGCTTCCTCCTTTTCTGAGAGTAGAGAAAGGCTCATTTCTTGTTACTTACATGCAAACAGCATATTTGAAAACCAGAGAAAAATAACTTCTATCAACCATTCTTCAAAGTATAGTATTCCTATATCTACAAATGCCATATAAAAGCAGAAACTAGGCAGGTCAAAATGAGTGGTGTTTTAGGTGTGTGCTTTGTGGCTTTCCCATGGAGTACCCATGAAATGTTACAGCGCAGCTGGCTGAGGGGTTCACAAATACAACGGTGGCCATGTCCGCTTGCTTGCACAGGGGAGGAAAATACACGAGTTCATGAAAATTCTGGTGATACAAGATTGACAGTGCAGAAAAGCCATTGGTTAGTTTAAATTGGAACCTTGATGACAGTTAGAAATCTAGGAAAAACTTAAGTGAGTCCAATTCTCTGATATGAAAAGCAAGACCATGAAATGCCAGCTCATTTATACAATTTGAATATATTTTTATTCACTGGTGGCTCTTGGGGCATGAGTCCAGGCAAAACATCTTACTTGAACCAGAATTTGGCCTGATAATGATTGGCACAGAGATGGACTTCAAAAACTGCATTTGAAAGGATGATCCAGTTAAAAATTCTTCCCTGTTTTGCAGGAAATGGAGTGAAGCTGAATTTCATAGCTTCACTGTTAATATGAAGTGTGAACTATGCAAAATTCCTTGTCATCAAATTTCTCTAAAGAACATGCTTTTTCAAATATCTAGTTTTAAATGAAAATTAATACATCAAATTTGACATCAATATAAAGGAACAATTTAACATGTGTCAGTGTTTCTAAGATACCATTGAAGAAGACATACCATCATTTCATATACAACTAGGGAAGAAAAAAACTATGAATTCAATTAGCACATCCATTGATTATAAGATTCATCTCAGTTTCAGAGATGATAAAACATGGGGAAAATGTGTCTTTGAGTTGTTGAAATTCAATAGATTCAAAGCACAATGTGTAGGATACTTCTGTGAGAGGAAAACAACAACTATTTCCATCACGAATGTAAGGTCTGGTGTCACGGTGGCAACATCACTCCTGGTTAATGATGCGGTATTATCCTCTTAACTGTCTTGGCCAAATGCTCGGCACCCCCATACACTCTGCCTCTGCAGCTCATGGTTGACATTAATCATAAAATCTGACTACGGCGAAAATTCAGTGCTTCTCCTTTGGGGACAAAAGCAGCAGCAAACCATAGCCGAGAACATGGCTTGCGTTTTACCCACTGCAAACGTGGTTGCGTGTGCAGACCAGCGTGCATTTTTATTAAAAGGATGCTAGCTATGAAGAGCGGCAGAGTCAAGAGGGCACACACCTCTGATTTCAAAGGGGCACCCGGGCCTCAGCCAATGCCTGTCTTGTGCTTTGGTAGCGTGCTGCCCAAGCTGGTAAATTACGTAAGAGGCATCCAGGCACAGCCTTAGGGGCCCCTAAGATTCTAGAAGCAGAATCACTGAGGCACATCATAGTGAGTGCCTTGAGCTTTTTGCCAGTGATTTAGTGCCTTTTTTTCAACAGTGAACACAGTCCAAAGGACCTTGAGAGGCTAGGAAAAGCCAAAAGCAAACTGGAAAGATCCCATAAAAAACAGTTTCTAAGTTGATAAGTGGACTGGTAAGACAAGCATTTTCTGGTTAGGTAGACTAATTGGATTCACCAGAAAGTTGCCAAAATTCCACTTGAAGTCACCCTGCATGGAGTTATGTAAACCTTTCTAATTCTTTAGAAAAGGAAATAGAAATCCCCAAGGCAGCATTAGAAGATGGGCGCGCTGCCATACTCACGATGATTGGGAGGCCTTTCTTCGGAGTAAATAGTCCACCACGTCAGGGTCTGTCTCTAACAGACTGATGAGCACTTCGTTCTGGAGATCCGGGGGAACCTGGAGGGGCCAAATGTCAAGGCATAAACAAAACCATTCCAGAAAGAAGCAAACTGTGGTCATTGGCAACTTTACAACAGCATAATACGGAGCTTTCAAAGACCTAAGAGAACAGAGTGGTTCACTGGTTAAAACCAAACCTACACCAGCCCATAGAACCCGTTGAATTCTTAGACCAAATTGGAGGATTACCAAACAGAAGTCATATTCAATCCCACTTGTCACCCTACTTATGACTGGAGATACAGCCTAATCACGTGGATGCCTCTGTCGCTCAAATTAGATTTTCTTGGGTTTGAATAAGCATAATCTGTGTCCATAGTTTATTGTCCAAATGGGGACATTTTCTAGAGTTCGTATTTATAATTATGCCAAGACAACAGGCATAAATAACCACTGTCTTGGGCAGTTCAGGGACATATGATCAGTTTATGAGGAGGACAGGCCCTTGAAGCCAGACTGTTTGTGTCTGAGCCTTACTTCCACTTACTCACTGTGGGACATTCGGCAAGATGCCCAGGCTTTGTAGGTCTGTTTCCTCATCTGTAAAGTGGAGATGATAGCGGTACTCACCACAAAGGGCTGCTGGGGTACGTAAATGGCTTATTATGTTGAGATCTCAGAACAGCACGGGCAGATAGTAGCCACTCAAACAAATGCTGACCTACTACCTCTGCACACAGCCTTTTCTCAGTCAGCGCCTGCCTCCACTCCGTTTTTGCATCTGGGTCCACAGACACTGAGAAGTGTCTCACTTCCTAATCTGATGAGGAGACCTTCACTGGAGTTCTACAGAGGAGCGCCCCATCTTTCTCTAGGTCTTGCCATCCTGAACCACCATGTGGAAATGTTCTACGAGGAAACCCTGGACCCGGCCCTAATGGTTTTCTGCTCTGTAGATGCTGCGAGCCCAACCAAAGGAAATTCAAAGTATTGAGAGAAAACAAGTTTTCAGAATGATTCTGTCACACACGGGTTCAGAGACAAGACTATCAGAAACCGCAGGGACTCGTCTTCTGAGAATAAGTGGTTGGTGGAAGAATTTGCCTCCTGCCTCTTGAAGAACTCAATTCTTCTTAAGCTCTGAGAACCTGGAAGCAATTTTATTAATAAAAACAGGGATGAGAAGGAAAGCAACAAAACGCTTTCCTTCTCTCATAAATCTATTCCTCCTACTTCATTCTCAATCTTCGTTAATGACGTAGCAAAACCCTAGTAACACACAAACTCAAAATCTGGGTCGCATTCAAGCTTCTCTGTGTCCTTTCCCCTCCCTGTTCAGAGCCAGGAGGTCCACGAGAGAGCTCTGTGATGTCTGTTATGCTTTCTCTATCTTCCATTCCAACTGCAGTGATCCAAGCTCGAGCCCTCATTACCCGTCCGCAGTGCACATCTCCTGGCCGCCGTCATCAGTCTCCATTCCCCTCACTCCATTCCCACACTACCATGGCGGCCTGAGTGACGGCCATGGGACTCCAGAGGTGATGAAAAGCTGTGAGAATTTCCCTGAGACTTCTGAGAGAGAGGATGCAGGGCTGGCAGCCATATGGGGCCTGAGGGCTGTGCTGACCATTGAAGACACAATACCAAGAAATGGAGAGAAAGAAACTGGCTCTTTCAACATCATTTGAGTCCTAGGTGAAGCTATGTGTGAAGCCGTATTTGCTTCTGGGTTTTTCAGCTGCGTGAGCCCCCAGTTCCTTCGCTAGTTTGAGTTCTTATCTGAACTCAGGGGCCTTTGATGCCCCAGCCTGCTAACTCGGGTGCTATCCATTTCCTTCAACACATGCATCAGTTTCTTCCATGCACAGTTGTCAGAATGCTGTGATCAAGACCCTCACTTGCCCCAAACCCTTTTTATCCCTACAGTCGGAGTCTACTTGCTTGCTGGCCTCCATCTGTATTTCCCATTTTCTGCCCTACCCGTCCTCCTCACACACTCTACTCCAGCACCACTGAGCTTCTTCGAGCCTTGGGCCTTTCCCCACCTCATCCTTTAGTTTGTGACATAAATATTTGGTGAACGTTCACTGAGTGCCAGGCGCTGGATGCTGGATTCAGCTACAAACCAAACATACAAGAATCCTTGCCTCCTTGGAGATGACAACGAATATGGGAAGACTGGCAGTAAAGAACTGTACAAATAAAACAAAGCATAGATCACATGGACAAAAACAAAGTAAAGAAGGGTGGTGATGGGGAATGCTGGCTGGGGCAGGGTGGGCAGAGAGCAACTTACATGGGATAGTCAGCTCACAGGGAGACCGACATTTTAGCAGAGAACTGAAGTTGAGGGAGGAACTGAGAAAATCATTCTGAGCAGAAGAAAAAATAGAATCAGCAAGATGTTGAGTCAGGAGCAGCGAGAGGCCAGTGAGGTTGGAACAGAGCGAGGGGAAGGAGGTGAGTGGTAGGAAGTGGGTCAGGGAGCCAAGGCCAGATGAGGAAACTCTGGGGTCACAATAAGCATTGCAGCTCGCAGTCTCAGTGGGCGGGGGGCCACTGGAAGCTCGGAGCAAAGGGCCCACAGGGATTGTCATCACTCCGGCTGCAGGGAAGCAAGGGGTGAAGCACGAAGTGTGGAGAGGGGCTGTTGATACTTCCAGAAGGGAGAGGATGGAGTGCTGAGCCAGGGTGTGAGCTGATGAGAACTATTTGGACCCTGGAGATAACAAAGGTAGAGATGATAGCATTAGCTGATTTGTTAGATGAAGAGAGAAAGAGAGAGGGAGAGGGAGAAGGAAGGAGTCTGACGGTTGAGGCCTAGGGCCCTGGAAGGAGAGGGTTGCTCTTGACTGGCTGACAGCAGGAGGCTGGGCTCAAGTTCAGGAGTGTGGCCTTGCCGTGATAAAGGCGAGAGGCTTGTGAGCCGTCCAAACGAAGGAGAGATCTAGGAGGCAGTTGAGAATAAGGCTCTAGGGGTCAGGGGGAGGCCCAGGTTGGACAGAGAAATTTGGGAGACACATATGGATGGCATTTAAAACTCTGTAAGCAAACATAACGGCCTGGGGATGGGAATGTGAGGGAGAGAGAAGGGGCCGGACTTTTAGGGGAAGGCTGAGAGACTCCATTCTCTCGCTTTATTGAATAAATTAAACAAATCAAGACTGATAATTTTTACTGTACTTCTTTTCAAACAACAGGCCCCAACACGTTGCGCACTATTATATCAATTTTTCAAAAAGTAATGCCTAAAGGGGGAAAACAAGAAGAGCAAGTACTCATTTAAAAAAAAAAGAACAGCAAAGCAAACAATAACATAGGCCAAAAATGTATAGCCTGAGCTCTTTTTAAAAGAAGCTTCCACAAACAAATTAGGAAAAAGATTGTATTTTCATCCAGTTCGTTTAATACAGTTTTCTATGCTCAGACATGTAACTGCAAATTTTGCTCCAAGCACCGACCCATTCCCACTGAAGAATAAGCAACCAGACTGTAAGCCCTTTGCCATGGTGTAAGCATCACAATATTAATTCTTTCAGAGTCTATGGTATGTCTAATGATAAACTATTAACTTGTATACATTATTAGAATAGGTTACAGGAAGTATCCTTCTTTAAAAAGTTAACTTTCCATAACCTTTTGTTAAACTATTCTGCAACTCTGAGTTTTTACTCATTCTGCTAGGCTTCATTCCCACCCAATTACAATTACTGAGGTTTATTTTATACAACATACATGACTTATACTTGGTAACAAACGCAAAGAGAAAGAGTCAGTGTTATAAATCTAACAATAGTTTCTTTTTAAAAGACCCATGATGCCATTTTTGGCTTGGAGACACTATTTACAAATAAGTAAAAAGTTACGGTTAGAAAATGTGGATCCCCGTATTGCAGGAAGGGTAGATAATATTTTCCTATGTATGATGTAAGACTGACTAGCATGCACAGAATCCATTATTTCAATTAATTTATATCCCATGTTGTTAGAAAATGATTTAAAGCAGCTTCAAAAATTCATATGATAAGACCACATTAGTTGGTTTCTTTATAAAGGAATGGTTTAGAAAATTGGGGCCAGTAGGAAAATGAGGGTAGAGAAACTTGAAATGGTGCCTGAAACTAAATTTTAATGTTCATACAACAGCATCCAGTGCTGCCTTCCCAGTAATTCCTCTCATCTTTTTCTGTATTTGCACATTTCATTTCCTATTATTTGATAAATATTTCAAACCACTGGCTCAGTTCAATTGGATGAGTATTCATGTTCTATGGATTTAGATACTTAATAAAGAAACAAAAGTCAAGGGAATGAACTGATGGGAAACAGGAGCTTACAGTAAGTAAGAAATATCCAGGCTGACCATTACCATGTGCATTCTTTTTAAGGAATTAGGATGCTGTCAAAAGAGCATGTGACTGGGAGTAGATAGCCCCTGAGGTGTAGTTTTGGCTCTGCTGCTAATAGTTAATGTAAACTTGGACACCCCAACCATCTTCCTTAGGATTCTGTTCCTGCACCTGAAAATCCAAGCATATGCTCTCTCTCCCATCTGCCTTTTTATGGAGGTGTTATGGGGATCAAAAGGGCTAACAGGTCTGAAAGTACCTTACCAACTGCAAAGGGAGTTAGAATAAAAGATTTTATAAGAAATAGACAAGATAATTAATAAATAACCACCTACTTAAAAGAAAAAAATAAAAGCAGGTAACATGAGGATGGCCAATATTCTGCGATTTTTCTCTTGACTAACAGTCATCCATCTCTGCCTTTTACACTGTACAGAGAAGCATCACTTTCTCTTCTTTTGCTCAACACCTCTGGTGGATATTACGTTATTGGATTGCCTTGCAACATGTCTCTGCTCCTGGCCTTCCCTTGAATTTCTAGAGTTACAGTTCATGACCCCCTCAGTCCCTCAACTCCAGTGGTCTTGAAGCCATACTCTGTGTAGCTTCTCTCCTCCAGTTCCTTCTCTTCAGCTAGACCTCAAGTCTTTGGGCTGGTCGCATCACTGGAAGGTACATTTCCTGAAGGCAGCAGTTACGTGGCTTGTC